CCCGAAGGGTCCTGGTTGAAGCCAAACGCCGTGGGGTTGTACTCCATAAAAGATGCAATATCCCCAAGAAAGCAGGGGTAATGCACGGAGTAGCAATCATGGCAGCGAAGGAGAATATGCTGACGGGACTGCAAAGCAGCCCCGCAAGTGCAGCCATGAGGCTTCTTAATCTTGAAGCGATGATAATACGCTCCAATGGGCGCATGGCCAGTTATACACTGGCAAACGCGAGCAAACTCAGTGATACTGTGTCCGAAGGTTGAAAGCCAAGGTCCCCCATTGAGGTACAATGGCTGTAGCAGCCACCCGTCAGGCTGTTGAAGCTCTAAGAATTCAGAGCCTCGATAAGTTGGATCCTGGAAAGTGGAATTCCACGAATCCAGGACTGAGTGTGCAGCTCGAGAGTGAAGCGCGTCTATAGAGTTGTCCGTCTTGTGACGTCCAACCCTGACTTTGAGTTCGGTGATGTACTTGTGTGCCTCACCATGGATATCCCACCACATAGCAGATGGAACATAGACAAAGGTGATGTGGCGGAGATCATCCGCCTGAAACCACTCTTGGAGAACGTGACAGATTGACAGGCTAAAAGCCTGACCAGAGTGCATGCCGGGGTCGACTGCTCTATGGGCCGAGCCCATAGAGTCAGTAAAGGCCATAATATGTTGGCAGTTCACCTGCTTAACAGCAAGGCGCACTGCACACGAGATGGCATTGAGTTCCGCATCAGGGGCGGTAATTCTGCCAGAGACATAGCGAGTCCTTTCAAGCTCATGATGTCCCTTGTAGATGATGGCAGCCGAAGTCACCTGATACTGGTTGGACTGAGGGACAGAGCCATCAGTTGCAGCCAGTACTGTTGAAGGATCGGCCCTCGCTTTCACAATGAGCTCATCGAGATATGGTCGCCTATCCTGGGCAGGATCATGCTCGTCAAAGTGGAGATGGTCTGCATAGCAGTCCAGTAACCGATCGCCTGGGCGAGCTTCGGGCGCAAAGGGCTCAAAGCTCTCAGTTAGGGTGTGGACGCGCTCGTCCACCTCCATGACGGTGCTCTTGACTTTCCCTTGCATGGCTGGGGTCATCAAGGCGGCTGAGCGAGCATGTGGTGCAGCTCACTTAAGGAGTTCCTCGCCCATCATAGAGCGAAGAGGGTGGGTGTCTGAGAGGGTGGCTACGCGATACACTGCACGCATTGCCAGCTTCTTCAGCATAAGGTGGACAGGAATGAGACCTGCCAAGGCCTCAAGACCGCCTGTAGGGGAGGTGCGGAAAGCACCCGTAATCCATAGAGCAGCTTTTCGCTGCATCCGTTTTAACTGGTTCATCACGCCTTTATTATGGGCACCGTCAAAATACCAGAGACGATAGCTGTATGTGGCAATAGGAATCACACACAACTGATATAAGAGGTGGCGCTGTTTAGGCGAGAGACCTCTGGTAGAGTTCCTGAGCATGCGCATGGCCTGCACAGTGGTGAACGCCTTGGTGGCATAGTAGCAGACGTGCTCATGGAATGTGAGCCCGTGGTCAAAGTAGAAGCCCAAGTACCTCCAATAGGTCTTAGGCTTCAAGGGTGTAGTGCCGGTGTGTGGGGCGTACCCCAAATCCAGCGAGGGATTGTAGGTGTCTCGTCGACACGAAAAGTGGAACAGCTCGGTCTTGTCGTGTTCAAGAACGAGTGCAAAGGCAACAAAGAGAAGGTAGATAATTTTGTCCCCAC